CCTTGCCTCGTGGCAAGGAAGAATGGGGCAGAATGCACACTTTCTGTGAGCAGCTTATTCCCAAAGAGAGATGAGAGAAAGTGCTACTCATGCTCACTTCCTTGTCACAAACTCATCAATCAAGTAATCACGCCTCTGTCAATCTAGGTCCAACCAGGAGACAGAACACACAGAAATTTAGCCAGGAGAAGCTTAAAGAATTGTTCAGCTAGGATAGAGTAATGTAAATATGTTAAGAGAATTCTAAACGGAACCCTAGGGCTGAGGGAGAGTATCCAAGGAAGGACGAGCTTGAAAGAGGATCCCCTCTGGCATTCAGACTTCATTGGAGAGGGTGTGGTTGCAGAACACTAGGTGGTGAGAAAGTGCTGGTTTGCCTGGGCCAGAGCTGGTTTAGAATCATGTGATAAACAGGAAATGATCCTCTGGCACACAGGCAAGCCCAGGCTGGTGAACAGGTTGCCAAGGGAGTTAAGACGTTTCTGCAGGTGCAAAGCCAGGAGCAGACCTTGTCCACACTGGAAAGGCCTCAGGAATAACCCTCTAGAGGGAAGGCAAACTGAGACGGCTGGGTGGGCATGCTGGGGAGTCCAGGGCACTGCTACAAGCAGGAGGCCAGGAGCATGTGGTGTCCCTCTCAAGAAGACTGCAGTAAGGTGATCCCAGGCCACCTGGGCTGGGGCTGTGAGGTTGCTGACAGACTGTGCATTCTGGGTGTGCAACTGGAGCAAAGCACTGCCAGGTGTCCACACACACACACAAACACACACACACCACTGACACATCATGCAGCAGGAGCAAGAGAAAGCAAATTTCAGTACACCAAAACCAGGAAGAGAAGCTTCTTTCCTCCTGCAGTGTCTCTCCAGTATCCTCTACTTAATATGCTCATTCAAAAGGAGAAATGCTTCGAGTCCAGTGCATTATCACAGAGCAGGTACTGAAGGATGAATTTGGAGTTGAGGGTCAATAAATTGATAAGTGGCTCAGTCGACCCCTTTGACTACTCAGCTTCCGTATGCACCCTTCTACAACATTTGAATTCCTGCATAACAACAAAGCAATTAAGTCGATATTTTAGCCTAGCAAGATGCAGCTATCCTTCTGATAAGTGAAGTTCTTGCCCTTCTTACAAGTGAAAAGACACAAAGCCCCAACAGTCACTTAACCCATTGCTGGCTATATTAATTACTCCTCACATTCAGTCATGGTCCCACTGAATATTCTGTTAACTAAAGACTGTATTGTAAAGTTGACCTCCACCAACTTCTATATAAAATAAAAATGGGAAGACGAGGATGGAAGAAAAGGATTAGCATATATAAATAAATGCATGCATATAACGGAGAAAATATGCAAAGCTACCACAGTCCTGGTTTCTGTCATTTGTCACGATTATGGTTGATATCTGTGGCTTCCACCTTCACTTACCTATTCCATATTTTCCTTGCCCACAGCCAGAACCCACAGCTCTGGGTTCTTTACCTGGTGGAATGATCCAAACCTTTCTTCCTGAAGCATTTGAATCCTCAATCATCCTGCCTTTTTCTGGTTCTTGTAGTTTTCCATCAACCTTTACTGTTGCCTTGGAAGTACTAAGAGGAACCTCAGAAAATCTCCTGGGTTCCAGACATGGTCCTCCTTGCTTCCACTGTAGCAGCAACCAATTTCCCTTGGTAATTGGGATCAATCACTATAGCCAATAGATTAACCTTCTGTTTTTCACCTGTTGGGTCAGTGGTATAAGGAGTGCAAAATGGCAAGGTGGCAGTCTGTGGTAGGCAGAATTCTAAGATGGACCCCATGGTTCCTGTCCCCTGGGGTACACACCCTGTATAATTTCCCCCTGAGCATTGTTGGGACCTGTAAATACAACTGGATATCACCTTCATGATTATGTTATATGGCAAAAGGAATTTTGCAAGTGTAATTAGAGTCCCTAATCAGTTGACTATAATCCACAGGGAGGTTATCCTGGGTAGGTCCAACCTACCTAATCAGGCAAGTCTTTTAAAAGCAGAAGAGTTCTCTTGCTGGTCTGGGAGAAAAACAGCCATGTTGTAAGAGGAGAGGCCATGTGGCAAGGACCTGAGAGCAACCTCTGGGATCTGAGAGCAGTCCTCAGCTGACGGCAAGAAAACGGACTTGAATAATACAGCTGCAAGGAATTGAATTCTGCTAACAGCCACATGAAGTGAGGAGAGGATCCTGAGCCTCAGATGAGATCACAGTCCCAGTCAACGCTTTGATTTCAGCCTGGTGATACCCTGAGCAGAGGATTCAGCTAACCTGTACCTAGACCCTTGACTCACAGAAACCATGAGATAAATAAATTTGTGTTGTTTTAAGCCACTGGATTTGTGGTAATTTGATATGCAGCCAATATGAAAATAATACACAATCTCATCTTCCATTTCAGTGGAGCCATTGTTGTGTCTCCTGTTGGAAGCATTCCCCTCTTGGATACTACGATCTCCAAATCAGTAGAGCTCAAAGTTGCCAGGACACGAAGCAAAAAATCTGCAAGTGGGTTATAGGTTTAATAGTGAGAGAAGCCACTCCCATTTCTACCGCTTGTATTCTGGCTATAGAAGAGCTAACACCGTATAATGCTTTCTCACCCAAAGCATATACTGCACTCTGTAAGACAGAACCCCTTTCTTTCAGGATGTTATGTATCAACTAGTACCATAATGAGTCCTTAATAAGCAATTTCACCTTTCTTTTAGCCCTGCCACTTCCAGGTAATGGGGGTATGTGGTAAGACCAGTTAATTCCATGGAGTGAGCTCCACTGCTGCACTTCTTTGCTGTGAAATGAAGTTTCTTGATCAAAAGCAATGCTGTGAATGCCACGACCGTGGATAAGGCATTCTGAGTCCATGGATGGTAATGCTGGCAGAAGCGTTACAGGCAGGGAAGGCAAATCTGTATTCAGAATATATGTCTGTTTCCATGAGAACAAATCTCTGCTCCTCCATGATAGAAGAGGTCTAATATGGCTGGCTTGTCCTCCCAGGGAATGGTGCCATATTAGGGACTCAATGTTGGTCTCTACTTGGCAGTAGTGCTAGCCAGGCCAGCCTTAGTAAGGGAAATTCCATGTTGTTGAATCCATACATAACCTCCTTCCTTGCCACTGTGGCCTCTTTGTTCATGGGTCCATTGAACTAGCACTGGAGTGGCTGGGGAAAAAAGCTGACTGACATCCACAGCATGGTATTTTGTCCACTTCATTATTGAGAGCCTCCTCTGCAGTGGATGCCCTTTGGTAGGTATTCACGTGGGACACAAATATCTTCACAGTCTGCACCAACGCAAAGAGGTCTTAGCTAATGTTCTTGTCCCCACCTAAAACTTCCTTAATCCCAGTGCCCATTTATCAAAATTTTTACCCATGGTTAACTTCAACCTATCTGCAACATTATTTCATCTAGACCCCCACTCACCCACTTTTCCTTTCCAGATCATTTTGAAGCAAATTCCAGATATCATATCACTTTATCTTAAATATTTCAGTATCTCTAAAAGATAAGCAGTATTTAAAAATAACCATAATACCATTATCATACCTAAAAAATATGTAATCATTTAATATCAAATATCCAGTCCATGTTCAAATGTCCTCAACTATCTCAAGCATCCAAATAGAGTCCAAACATTGAAATGGGTTGATATGATACTACATCTTTTAATCCATATGTTTTTTTCTCTCTTTCTCTTTTCTTGCAATTTATTTGTTGAAGAAACTAAGTTGTCTTTCAAATTTCCCACAGGCTGGATTTGCTGATTATAACCCTTTATGTCAATTAACATGTTCTTCTATCCCCTGTATTTCCTTAAATTTCATGGTTATATCTGGAGGCTAAATCAGATCCAAGTTTGATTGTTTCTTGGCAAAACTTCTTGAGTGGTGTTATGTACTTTCATTTGGAGGCACATAGTCTGGTCTGTCTTTTTGGAATGTTATCAGCCGTTGACGATCACTGCTAGATCTCTTAATTTATGAGGGTTTGGAAAAGGGTGATATTCTATCACTCTTTCTTCATTTGTTATCTATACTAATATACGATATTACTATAAAATACAGACACACATATACACACACACTCTTCTACAAAGAGAAATTTCCATTCATCAACAATTTGGTTACCCAGAAATATAGTTCATATAGAGAAAGCAGAATAAATGCTTGGTTTTTTCTATTTACCAGCTTTTAAAGTAATAATTTGCTGGCATCCTCTAAGTTGACCAATGAATTTTATTTTAATATCATTATGAACTCATATATTTAAATATATTGGATGTGTTTCAGACCATTCCAGTTATTATCTTTATTGGTGCTTAAATCGCATCATCTTTGCCAGTGGAAACCAATTCAAGTTGGCTCTTGGATCCTTTTGAGCTGTCTTTCATAGTTGCCTTCTTTTCTAGTACGCCAAGGTGTTGCAGGCTCATATTGTACGTGTCCTGCCCCAGAGCTGAGATCACCCATTTCTTCAAAGAACCTTAGTTCCTTTTAGTAGGAAATGGTATGTAGAGATCATAATATGGGCATTACTAGGTCAGTCATTGTTTCTAGGCCTTCTCAGTACACAGAGCTAGAAGATTATGTTGTTATTGTTTCATAGCTTTATTTAAGATAAAGTACTTTATGAGTTCATACTGATATTTCCAATTCAAGCCCAGGATTTACTTTAATAGTCTTATATCTGTACTTCCTTCATCATGAATTCTTTCTGATCATTTCAGCCAGGAGTGATAGATCTTCCTTTGAATTATACCACCCGCTTCAATAACTTTTATGGCAATCAACATATTAATCCTTATTGTTATTTTTGTATGTATCTTAGCCTCCTTATCAAATGCAATTTGGTGGACCAGAGTCCATGCCTTTTTACTCTCTGTTAAATAAAGATAAAATTCCTAAAGTGCTAGTGTATTTACTGACACATAATTACCCCTTTCTCTTTGTATCCCTCAAAATATGGAACAGTACTATACATGTACTAAAATTTAATGATTGTTAAATGGATAAATACAAAATTAGGTTTGTACTCAACTTTTCAGATATAAAGTACTAGAAGCTGTAATTTTAGTGGCAACTAGGTTAAAGATATTAAAGTTGTTTGAAATAAGTTTTATTTCACAGATATAAAACAATTCTGAACATTTACAACTTGTACAAAGACTGGTAGCTTTTATATTTTAAAAATTGCTATACTAAGAGAATAGGAAAAATTTAAAGACCACAATGACATTCCAAATTATAGGTTCAGGGAATGGGAATATGAAGAAAGTATTCTAATCAACTACAAAATCCTGAAACCATTTTTGATTGAAGGAAAATGAATAATACTGGATTTAAATACAGTGTGAAATCACACTTTGGTATGTAAACATGTTAGTTTTGTTTTTCTTTCAGATGTATACACAAAAATTATATAAAGTGTCACTAAAATGAACCATTCAAAGGTATAATAAAAAAGAGGTAGGGAATGAAAATTAAAGAATTTATTTTGGTAGTTCTTCAATAATGATTCGAGACACTGAATTCCATCCAGTAGAGGCGTCTCCTTTTGGGTAATCTGAACAAGTACCAACCCAGATAGCAATATCCACTAATCCGGCCCCGATTCCTTCACAAAGTCCTTCCACTGCAAAACAAAGATGAAAGTTACATCTCTCTTGAGAAGAAAGAGCAAAAACTTTTAGTTAAATTTTATTACTTTAGCAAGCTAGATTATAAATCTATTTAATGTACAGTGATTTAAAAATCCTAATACTAGGGCCGGCTCCGTGGCTTAGCGGTTAAGTGCGCGCGCTCTGATGCTGGCGGCCCGGGTTCGGATCCCGGGCGCGCCCCAAGGCACCACTTCTCCGTCCAGCGCGAGGCCGAGTCCCACGTACAGCAACTAGAAGGATGTGAACCTATGACATACAACTATCTGCTGGGGCTTTGGGGGGAAAAAAATGAATAAATAAAATCTTTAAAAAAAAAAAAAATCCTAATACTTGATGAGGGTTTCATAAAGATAAGTTCTCTTTTTCTGAATTAGTACATAAATATTTTTTAAAGATGTATAGACAGTCCTCATCTTACAATGGTTTGACTTACAATTTGTTGACTTTGCAATGGTGGGAAAGCGATACACACTCAGTAGAAACCATACTTCGAATTTTGATCTTTTCCCAGGCTAGTGATATGCTGTAGATGCTCTCTTGTGATGCTGGGCTCCCAGTAAGCCACGCAATCATGAGGGTAAACACCGATACACTTACAACCACTCTGTACCCATATAATCATTCTGTTTTTCACTTTCAGTACAGTATTCAATAAATTACATGAGATATTCAACACTTTATTATAAAATAGGCTTTGCGTTAGATGATTTTGCCCAACTGTAGGCTCATGTAAGTGTTCTGAGCACACTGAAGGTAGGCTAGGCTAAGCTATGATGTTCAGTAGGTGAGATGTGTTAAATGCATTTTTGACTTAGGATATTTTCAATTTATCAGGTTTATCAGGACGTAACCCCATCGGAAACTGAGGAAGATCTGTATAAATATCCATTCTATGATATAAGCTTAACAGGCGGTTTTCTTAAAGGTTTCAACCATAAAACCAGAATTCATTTAGTTACAGAAATAACCTAAAACAAAAAGCAATTTATTTGACTAAACAAAGGAAGCCTACACTTTTAGAAGCAAAGACTTTGATTTGATATGTAAGTCTTTTTTTAAAGAAAGCCCTTTCCAACACTTACCTGTACATTTGATGGTATTCAAGTAGAAGAAAGGACTTTTATAATATTAAAAGAAATTCTAGCACAATCATTATGCCAGTCCTTCAATCTGGGAATCCCATTTTACACAGAATTTCGCCACAGTGAGAAAACAAAAATCCTGCTTTTCCTCCGTGTTCTTATGCTTTATAAATATATACCCTTTCTCAGGTCCTCTGGACTTTCACATTCTAATACACAACTTGCTGTCCATCTTACCAAGGTTCTTGTTCTACATTAAAAAAAAATTCCCCCATTGGTCATTTTAACAGGCAAAAAGATACAGCCCTTTTGATGTATCAGGGAGAAAAGGAACCACAGGTTGGCCGATTCTTTAAGAAAATGAGTGCTGACATATAAGTCGTGTAGGGATGACCTCATGTGACTGGTTGGGTTTCCTATTTGGCTGAGGTTAGCGCGTTGCAGCAGAGCCTCGGGGATGCAGGCCCGAAGCAGTCGGCTTCCATTAGCTGTCGCATCAGTGACTCTAAGGCAAGTCTCTCAGAATTCAGGGACCTAGCTCTGGTTCACGTCCCTTTCAAAGTTGGGAGAACTAAGCAGTGTGCCCATAATTCCATTTAATCCAGTATTCTCAGTACCACGCCAGGTGAGCATGCCCAGAAATACTCATGTTTTCTGAGGTCTTGACATCCACAGCCTAGAAACGTTCACTTCACCCTGCAGGACGTCAGATAAGCTCAGGTCTAGCGTCAGCCTTACACGGAGAGAGTCCAATGGTCACTTCATGGTCTTTAACAAACGAAATGATGTCTTTTGAATGAATGAACATTTATGCTGCAATAAGGTAGTATTGCAGCTTATTAAGCACCTAAAATATGTTGGATTAGGGGTTCTCAATCTGTTTTCCTCCTAGACCCGGGTAACAGGATGACATTCAAATGTCTGTCAAACTCCCATGGGCACACCCAAGGCTTTAAGTCATCCTCTGATGTGCTAACTATAAGTGCATCCCCCTTCCTTTCCCTCAAGAGAGAGCATCAGTGTGTAAGGGAAAATGCTTTTATTATAGAGGTAACCTTCAATTCATCTTAATACAAAAACTGTTATGAATGACAAATTACTTCTGACATTCTACCCAACTGTTAAGTTTCAAAACCATGGTTGGGAAATGCTCTGTTGAATAATTTATAAAGTATATGCATGTATAGGTTACAGTTCCTGGGCTTTAGGGTTTCCGTTAGAGCAAGATATTAACACACACACCATAAAGATAACTTAATAGAAGGTAAGTTGCTTATATCAACTATGATCTAAACATATCACTTCCTAATCACATTTTATATTTTATACCTAGATTTTTCTTATTTTAGAGACAAGACTGCTTCTCAGATGGAAAGCACATCTTCCTTTCCAGGACATGTATCTGAGGACTTAGTGAAAAGGCTACTTAGTTTGATCAAAGAGAGGGCTGGGGAGATAAGAGAGCATGGCTCTGATCTCTGCTCTCCTGAGCACTGATTCCACTGTCCTGGGTGAAACACTTTATTTCCCTGGGCCTCTCTATGTGCAAAGGGAGGGGGTTAAAATACCCTCTTTATATCTCGAGGATATTGTGGGGATTTGAGGAAGAAAGTTGAAAGGATGCCCTCGATTTCTTAGGGATAAATGTGCTATATTAGTTTTCAGGTTCAGTATCTGACTTGGACCCCCAAAGAATGCTGAAATATAATTCCCTCTGGTTAACAGTAGGGGAGATCTCTTCTCTTCCCTCTGCCATTTTTTATTTATTTATTTATTTATTGTGATTAAGATTAGCCCTGAGCTAACATCTGCCAATCCTCCTCTTTTTCTGCTGAGGAAGACCGGCCCTGGGCTAACATCCGTGCCCATCTTCCTCCACTTTATATGGGACGCCGCCACAGCATGGCTTGACAAGCGGTGCGTCGCTGCACGCCCGGGATCCGAAACTGCAAACCCCGGGCCACCAAAGCGGAGTGAGCGAACTTAACCGCTATGCCACCAGGTGGGCCCCTCCCTCTGCCCATTTTTAAGTACAAGATTAGTGAGAAATCCCTTCAAGAAATCAGGGAAATGAAGCCAGTGATTCTCCCAGCATGTGCTGCCATGTGTGTCACCCCCACAGCAACTCAAGAAACCAAAATGGCTGGCAGCCAAATATTGATAGTGGTGTCTCTGGGTTATAACACTCATAGGTAGTTTTTTTCCCCTTCTACTTTTTGGTATCTTCTAAACTTTCTTAAATGAACCTTAAAACAGAACAAAACAAACCAATATTTCTTTTTCTTACAGCTTAAGTGACCACTGGTTTAACTAAACGTCTTTTCTCTCATACTAGGAAGAAACAAACAGAGGATGCAGGAACAATATAGAAATTTTCTCTTTTACAAATCCAGCAGACTGTATCTACCCTTTTAAACGACAAGGCAGAGAAAACAGCCTCCTTATCAATCTAAGATAGTGGTTCTCAACCCTGGCTGAACATTAGATTTTGGAAGTCCCAGTGCCTAGGCTGCCCCCCAGACCCCCTAAGTCAGACTCCCTGGAGGGGTGGTACCTAGGCACGGGGATGTTTTCAAGTTCCCCAGATGAGCCCAATGTGTAGACAAGGTTGAAAACCACTGCTCTATGGCATTATTGGCTGTTTTGCCATTTCCTCTAACTCGGTTATTTTCAACCTTGGGGATCTTTTAAAAAATACAAATGCTGGGGTCTTACCCCCTGAGTTTCTGATTCAGTCAGAGATGGGATCCAGACATCTACTTTTTTTTTTTAAAGATCCATTGGAAATTCTGAAGTGCAACCAGGATGGAGAATTATGGACAGAAAACTTGCTATGACCTGACATGATAGTGGACGCAAAACTAATCTTTGGTCTCTAAAGACATGAGGCACATTCTGCAGTGTCACTATTCTACGTACCAGAAGAAGTGCGATGAATATTAATTGTTGAATTCATTTCGGGGCTTCCTTGATCCAAATAAATTATGGCTTCAATGGGAAGAGGTCCTGAACACTCAGCTCCATTGAAAGTGAAATACCAACGCTGACAGCAGGCGTTTCTGCATTTTAACCGCAGTGAGCCACTGAACAAAACTCGCAGAGCACTGTTCGAACGCATCTTTGTAAATGTACACTCCTATCACAACACAGAAACAGGGTTTAATTAGCATTTTCAATTTCAATTAAAAAGATGCTTTCAAATTGTATTGTGATTTTTATTTAACTATCCTTTTCCCCCAAACTGCAATTAAAAAGCTTAACTTTTATAGAGGGAGGGAGATTCTCTGCAAGGTAGATAAGAGACTCTGATATTAGGAACGCTAAGAAAATCAAATTATGGCATTCTTAGAATTAATCACCCCATTGAATGTATCTTTCAGTTTTACCAAAACCAGCCAGTTTTCAGTATTTTAGACCAAACCAATCTATATATTTACTTCTTTATCCATTCCAAAAATATTTCCTGAGCCCTATGTGCTGGATGCTACAGATACAGCAGTAAACAAAACAGAATCCCTGCCCCGTGAAACTTACATCCTAGACTAGCACTGTGCATGTACATTTACTCTTGACCTGTTTCTTTTTGAGCAATAGCAAACAGTATACCTGTATGACACAATGATAAGGCCCAGGGTTTTTTTCTCTAATTGGTCTGAAAAATTTTGTCTGTCTATTGGCTCATGGTCCCACTATCTTTTATTTGCATAAGGCTCCCAAATCCATTCTGACCACTGCTAAAAGGAACATATTAATAATTCAGAGTCCACAGAGCTAGCTTTTAGAGAACTCAGCAACTTTTGACAAACTATAAAAAAGCAACTAGTGTCAATGTCAGATGTTTAAGAAGGAGGCAACATTTTAATAAAATGCTTTCTAAGAAATCACATATGAAAATAAAAATGGTCAGAGTCACCAAAATTATGGAAGCTATATGGAAATTCTATCACACAAAAATCAAACCAAGACAGTCTCAAATATTTTAATGGATAATAGAGCAGACATTAAAGAGCTGAGATGAGGCGCAGGGATAATACACAAATTGCATCTTAAAACCTTAGCGTTTTATAAAAATAAAATCCCTTCTATTTGCCTGGTGGTAGTAGTGGTTAATATTAAGTAACAATTTATTGCAGATATGGAACCACGTAGAGAGTCGGTCAAGAAAAGAACAAAGAGGCTTAGAAATAGCACAAACCTCTTCAACTTGATGCCATCTCAGTTGACTTGCCAGTTACTTTTGAAGCAAACATTACTCAAAATGACTGAATCATTAATCAAAATGCATTGCCAGACAGGTCATTTTAAATAATTTTTTCCCCCTAAATGTTGCAGAATAATTTTAAATGGTCACTGTAGTACATTTCTGGTCCATTCCACTTCTCTTAAGCTTAGCAGTTTTAAGCTGGGCCTGCAACCCAGAATAAGGACAAATACCAATGGACTTCCCACTTCTAGATAATTGCTATCATGTGGTAATTTCTTGGAAATTTCTTCCCACCTCTATGTCTGGAGCCACAGCAGAATTTCTTAAACTAATTCAAATTTAAATTCACTGTAGAACAAGATTGGAACGTTGTTTACTGTCCAACACAGGCATCTATGCTCTCCCTTTCTGTTTGCATTTTTTAAAAAATAGTAAGCTGGGGCTGGCCCAGTGGTGTAGTGATTAAGTTCGTGTGCTCCGCTTTGACAGCCTGGGGTTCACAGGTTCGGATCCCAGGTGCAGACCTACACACTGCTTGTCAAGCCATGCTGTGGCGGCATCCCACATATAAAGTAGAGGAAGATGGGCACGGATGTTAGCCCAGGGCCAATATTCCTCAGCAAAAAGAGGAGGATTGGCAACAGATGTTAGCTCAGGGCTAATCTTTCTCACCAAAAAAACCAAAAAACAAAAAACAGTAAGTTATTTTAGGTATTATTAAGGTTAAAACAATATAGTAATTTATTTGTCTTAGAAATACCTTTATAAAATTAACTCTGACATGTTATCAATTTTTTTCATTAATTTTAAGTTAAAAGTCACATGGTACCTACTTGTTAATTTTTAAAAAAGTCTTTTAGTAAAAATAAAATAAAATCTCACCAAAAATTAACACTCAACTATGCAAACCCTTAAGTTTTGCTTCAATTTTAAAATAATTCAGACTTCACTTACCGCAATTTTCCCAAGATCTATGCCATAATTCAGCGAACTCCACGAACACTGCTTGTAGTTAGGTGTCCAGGACTCCTCGAAGCTTTCCCTCAGGCATTCCCCCTTTTCTCCTTTGAATCCATCCCGACCTGGGATCCCAGGGGTACCAGGAATGCCATTGGCCCCAGGGCTCCCGTCTCGCCCAGGTACCCCTGCAGGCCCTTGTAAGCACATTCCATTATACTACAGCAAAAAAAGGAAAGGGGGGGGGGATCTCTCACCATTTAAGATTCAAAGACTCAATCTGATTAGAATTGCTTCTATTTTGAGCCTTTGGAGTCAAGAATCTCTTCATACCACTTGCCCATGTTCTAAATAAGTTATTATAGAGAATTGATTTTAAAGTTACTTCCAAGATATTGAGATTTCTTTCCTATTCTTTTTATTGCACAGACTTTACACACACACACATCAAAGAAGAAGACAAAATGTTTTCATTTGCCTGCTTTTTTCTACTGCCCATTAAAAGCAATTTTTACATAGCTTTATTCCAAGGCGGACATAATTTGATATGCTGCTTTTTTCTTCTAGCCCTATATGTTGTAAAGGGACTTGGATTTCAGAACCATACTTTTAAAATTTTATGCAAACACTGCACTATTTTGGGATACTTAGGTTATTTCTATTTGTTCTATCAATATTAATGAAATGAAAATCTTCATCCATATAGCTTTTTTCTTCTTTTGAATTATTTCCCTAAGATAAATTCCTAGAGCTGGATTATAAAATAATCTACCAGTCAATAATTATCTTACACTGCCAGTATCTCTAAGTTGGATATGCACACCTCCTGCTTCTCCTCCCTGTTTTTATGTGGAGGAAGTGTCACTAGGGCAGCACTTCTGGCCTCCAGCCTCAGAGTAAATGACCTGGTTGAGGTGACCAATGGTCTTCAATAGGGTGGCAGTACTCTACCAAACCTCTTAAGCGCTAGGATTCTCTTTGTTTTTCTTGGTTGGGGGGGCGGCAATAGTATTATATAGAAGTTAAGAGCATGGATTCTAGAGCCAGATTCTCTGGATTTTAATCCTATGCTCCACCACTTATTAGCTATGTGAGATAGGGCAAGTTATTCAACATTTCAGTGCCTATTTCCTTATCTGTAAAATGGGGAAAATAATAAATATTCTTACCTTGTAGGGTTTGTATGAGATTTAAGTGAGATAATATATAAAACGTGCCTAGAACAGTGCCTGACGCACAGTAAGCACTGCATATGTCAGCCGTGGTTATTCTCATTACTCCCCCAAGACCATGTGAGGCAGTGACGCTAGGCAAGTATGTCCACTCCCTTGGGTGGACCGTACCAGGCTCCGGGCCTGGGGAAGAGAACATTAGCAAACCTGCCAGCTAACACATACGCCACGCACACCAATGTGGTTGGATCAGTGGTAAAGGTGATATTTTGATCTCCATCTGTCTCATTCTTGTGTCTATCCCTGAATTGGTCCATGTATTAGGACCCTCCAAACCTCAAACCCAATCCACTTAAATTTTTACTTTAACATTCCTCTGTTTGGGTAAATTCTTCACTACTATCATTCTGTATAAATATACCGTCCAGTAAGAATAAAAAAACAAGATTCCTTATATATTAAAAGAACTTCAAAGCTTATCTTTTCATTTCTACATCTGGGAATAAACATGGTCATATTATAAAATCCAGTAATGACACTGTCTAGGAGGATCCTTATGTATTTAATTTTCTGCCAATCAATTTGCTTCTCACATCACCAATTTGATCTTTGTTTTGATAAATGATTTTTGTGACTTTGACTACTGCCATTTTCCTGATATGTAAGAAAAAAAGAGACACTGCCATTTATTTACTGCCAGAGAAATAATAATAAAAGTATTTAACAAAATTGCAAAAGTATTTGAAGACACGCTCAAGTATAAAATATTCTGAAATAGTTTGGTTTATTTTAGACAATTTTCATTTTAGTAATCTCATTCACTTTCACTAGCAGATGTATGCAATGCTCGGACATAGATTTCAAGTGGGAAGGGAGAAATAATAAGACTTCTTCTGGTATTGAGCTTTTTCACTATTTTTCCCCTCAGAGCAAGATGCTACACAAAGTTTTATTTTCCCATATATCAGTAGTTCTCAACCAGGGACAATTTTGTCCCTGAAGGGACACTGGCAAATGTCTGGAGATATTTTTGGTTGTCACAACTTCAAAGGGAGATTGCTATTGGCATCCAGTGGGTAGAGGCCAGAGATGCTGCTAAATATCCTACAATGCATAGGATGGTCCCCACAACAAAGAATTATCTAGTCCAAAAACGTTATCACTGCCATGGTTGAGAATCTTTATTCAGCTTTTTATCTAAAAACTTCATTTCAGAGACCACATAATTTTACTGAATTCGGTTCCACAGGTATTACATCTGTCTTCTTTCACTTTAAAATGCTAACTCAGCATGCTTAGTACCAGGTAGGGGTTCAATAAATGTCTGCGGAATGAACCCCTGTTTCTTTCACTGGCCACCAGGGGGCAGAGCTTGCTGGAAGCTTGAAAGGAATGCTTTGAAAGATCCTGTACAAAGAAGTTGCTTTATAGAATGTGTTGAAACCTTTTTAATGACTATGTGGACCTTTTTTCTCCAGCAAAACCAAATCCAATCTACAGGATGCACCTGAGCCTGGCTGCACAATAAGCTTTTCCAAGTTAGGCTGGCGTTGTGGGAAACCGCAGGTACTGTAAATCCTTGGAGGGAAATAAAAAAATTGCTAGCTTTATGGGGAAAAGGGATATTTTGTGTATTATAATTACAAATTCATAAAATGCAAACTGCACATGAACCACACTCACTTGGTACAGTTTTTAACAATTTCGACACTTAAACTAGAAATGCAGTCCTGAACACACAGTCTGCTTTGTGGAGCAAAATTACACAGCATGTCACCAAAAAGTGCAGTGTGAAAGTGCAGGAATTTTTTTCCAGAGCTTTTGAATCTGGTATAGAACTAGCTGCCAGGGAGCTTGGTTTATTAGCCTAGTTTACAACGGCAGCTTAACAAATTCAAAACAGTTTTGATCAAAATATGCTCCCCTCTTTTTGGTCTTGCAATACTGATAAACCATATTTGTCTGCAAATAAGATTGGCTTAAGGATTGAAGAGTATTATGTGCCAAGGATCATGGTAGTTGTGAAAGGATCACTCTTGCCACAGGGCAGAGAACCGCTCTGCCTCCACTGGGGCTGTTGACGTCCAGAGGGAAAGAGCTGTAAGCAGACAGACCTCCCACAGATTAGCCCTGGCAGAAAGCACTTGGGCTATTGATTTGCTACCCCAGAAACTGCCTTCTCCCTTAGCTCAGCTGTGATGCTCCTACCTGGTGGCCACAGGCGGAAGACCCAGGGCATCTGGAAGGACTGACTGCCCGTCTGTCTAAATAGAACAATGAAATGGGTCCCCGGATGGTCGGTACCCGGCCCCTTCATTTTCCATTTCCGGCCTTAAACCCTCTAAACCACTCCTGGCCCAGCTGTGGTCGTCCAACAAAGTAAATTGCAGTCCATACTCCCTAGGAAGATGACCCAACATGACTCACAGTCTTCAAGTTACAAAGAGTTGGACGGATGCTCTGTGAGGGCTGTTATTCTCTCTTACTGGCAGACGTGGCCACCAGCCCCAACAAAGGACACGTTGCAGGGCCCTGGCCCAGGCCCACCCAGGGAACCAGGGAGTCCAGGGTCTCCCAGGCAGCTCCCAGGCCCACGTTCTAACCTACACAAGCTCTTCATTCTACTCTCATTGTAGCCCTAATTCTTTCCATCCTCCCCGGGGGGACACAGAAGCCAGAAATTATTGGGCGACTCCCTGTAATTTGGGGCGTCCCACCCGACTCACGTCGCATCTCTGCTCCACGATGTCCCTCTCATTTTGGCCTGCCCTGCGAGTTCCAGGACTCCACTACACGCATAGCCCAGGTCCTTCCTTACACGTAGACTCAGACAAAGCGGGACACCCAGGCGCACGCAAGACACAGACACCCAGCTGCACAGACCGCCCCCACCCCCAACAGCTGGACCGACGCCCTCCCGGGGCGGCCCGCGGCTCTGTCCCCGCCACCGGACTCACCAGGTCCACCACCTCCCTCTGCCGGAGCAGCGCCTTTTGCTTCCCCTTGGGGGCCTCGGAGGCGCTCGACGGCGCCCGCAGCTGCAGCAGCAGGAGCAGCAGGAGGCCGAGGAGCCGCTGCGCGGAGGCGGCGGCGGGGCTCTGGGGGCGCATGGCGCGCGGCGGCCCCGGGACGCGCGGAGCAGGACAAGGAGGAGGAGACCGGGGCGCCGGGACGTGATCAGAGTCTGGGCCCGCCGCGCTCGGAGGCCGCCGCAGGCTGCATCAATGCGCCTTTCACCCGCGCGCCTCCCTCCCTCCCTCGCTCCCTCCCGCCCCCTGGACACCCGCAGTTTCCACCCGTAATAGGCCGGACCCCCCACCCCGAGCCCGACAAGGGGCGGGCCGAGAGGAGGGCCCGCCCTCTGCTGCGGCCTCCACTCAGCCCGCCCGGACCCTCGAGGGGCTGTGCAGACCGCGCGGAGAAGCCGCCTGCAGAGTCGGACCCGGTGGCCGGGGTCAGGGCGCCACAGGTGGAGGCTTCGAGGATGAGAGTGGAGACAGCACCGCCTAAATGAACATTGTAGGGACCCGTGCCTTCACCTGGGTCCAGGAACCGCATTCAACCTTGGCACCGTGTCAATCTTGTCAAACCCTGGCACCGTCAGCAAGCTCTTTTTTGGGAGGTGACATTTTTTGAGGGGAGTGGGGAGGAACCATAGGTATCATCAGGTTCTCCCGGGGGCCCATGACCCAAACGATGAAGAACCCGTGTTTCATAACCAGTGCTAACACTAAGCTCCAGGAACCACGCAAAGTCTTTGACACATACCCTCCGTCCTCTCGCAGTGCTGTGGGTGTTGGTACCTCCTCTGCTTGGCCCCTTCACAGGCGAGGAAACTGAAGCCCAGGGAGGTTAAGCAACATTCAGTGGGAGAAGTTCACCTTTGAGTAAGCATTCTGGACCTCTGATTGATATTATCTTTCTCTAACCTCTTCTGTCCCTCCTTTCATCTGTCCTCCTTGGTCCGTTTTGGAAGAAAGCATCCTCAGGGACCAGGCCAGGCACCAGGTAAGGTCAGGTTGGAGCAGGAGCTTCTCTATACCCACTGGCTGGAATCAGGCAGGACGGAAGTCTTGCCACACCTGTAACAACGTGGAGGTTGCTGTCAGAATGGCAGTGCTGCTGAGGTCAAATTCAGCTCCGCAGGGTTCTCCTTAGAGAACCAGCCAGGTTCCAGGAAGTTATAGTGGGCCAACAGATGGATATTAAAGAGAAGGGCAGGTCAGGGCAGTTCTGAGAATGCTCACTCCTGGTCCAGTGCCTAACTACAGGTAAATTTCATTCCTGTCTGTCAGAAGAAGCAAAGCCCAAATGGGTTCTGAAGCCGGGATTGGCAACATAATATGCAAAGCCCAGTGCAAAATAAAAATGCAGGGTTCCTTGTTAAAAAATTGTTAAGAATTTCAAGGGGCCGGCCCTGTGGCGTAGCGGTTAAGTGCGCGCGCTCTGCTTCGGCGGCCCGCGGTTCACAGGTTGGGATCCCGGGCGCGCACAGACGAACCGCTTGGCAAGCCTTGCTGTGGCGGCGTCCCATATAAAGTAGAGGAAGATGGGCACGGATGTTAGCCCAGGGCCAATCTTCCTCAGCAAAAAAGAGGAGGATTGGCAACGGATGTTAGCTCAGGGCTAATCTTCCTCACAAAAAAAAAAAAAAAAAGAATTTCAAGACAGTGTCAACAGAACAGTAGTACCCCCCCAAGGGTGGGACCCTTTTAAGTGCAGCCGCGTAGTCACTCACACGTGAAACTGGCCCTGAGTAAAGCTGAAAATGGCCCCAGCTGATGCCCTCATGTAGTGAAACCACTGTGGTGGCAGCAGTCACAGGGTGAAGAGGAGAGGAGGGGAGGGCACCACCAGAGTCCATCTTCTATCCAATCGCAATTCCTGCTGCCCTTGCTGCTGCTGTCACCCAGTGACTTCAGATGGTCCCTCTTTAAGTAAATTTGGGGTCCAGATTGAGGTTTCAGCAAAGACCTAATCCTGTATGGATGCACTCTTTAAACTACACATCCACATAATTAATCAAATTACACTGTAAGATAAGTAAACCAGATATCAATATCTGTATTTCAAAGGTAATCTGTAATAATGCATAAATGCTTTACAGCAAACAGAGGGCTTTCACATATCTTGTCTCCCAGGTCCTCAAATTTCACAAAAGTACCCACACTGTGGGTTTGATTAACTTCACTGTCTCATGTTTACTTCTATACCTTCGTGGGTTTGCAAAGTCATTTAGCCTACCACCTCTGGAATTTACTGTCTCAGTCCAGTTGAGTTTTCTTGGTCTAAAACTTAAGCCCATTCTACCATTATAGATTTTAGTTCCAGTTAGAGATTATGGATTAGTTTAGGGTCCTGGATGCTATTTCCAGTGATCTTTCCCGAAGCTTTCCGAATGTTCTGCATATTTTCTGTTCAAATATTTTACTTTTTTTTTTTTTTTACTATTGAACTGTTAATGCATTTCTTATCTGTCATAAAAACTCCTTTAAGATTTACATCTTTAAAACATTTAATCTTCCCATTTAGGGACATAATATGTCTCCCATTTTTCCAAATCCTTAATCCTTTTTTATGCATCAGTTAAATTTTATATTTTTCTTTATATAGGTCTTATATATTTCTTATTGTAGCTATTATGTATTTTGCTGCTGTTGCAAATGAAATCTAGACCCTCCTCTCATTGATTGTACTATTTTTCTATTACCATGTAACAAATACCATGATCTTAGTGACTTAACACTACACAAGTTTATTACCTCCCAGTTTTGTGGGTCAGGAGTCCAGCTCAGGTTAGTACATTAGAAAGCTGAAGTCAAAGTGTCAGCCAGGTGAGTCCTCATCTGGGAGCTTGACTAGGGAAAGATGCATCCAAGCTTCCTTAGATTGTTGGCAGAATTCATTTCCTTGTGGTTGCAGAGCTGAGATCCCTGCTTTCTTGCTGTCTGTTGTCTGGGGACCATTCTCAGCTACTAGAGGCCACTGTCAGGTCTATGCCAGGTGGCCCTCTGCCATAGGTCCTCTCTGTCACACTTTGAATCTCTGGCTTTAGGAAGGGTGCAGTCCCCTTTAAGGGCTCACGTGATTAAGTCAGGCCCACCCAAGATATTCTCCTTTTTGATTAAGTCAAAGTAAACTGATTAGGGAACTTAATTACACCGGCAAAATCCCTTCTGCCATATAATGTAACTTAATCATGGAAGTGACATCCGTCATATTCACAGGTTCTCTCATACTCAAGGGGAGGGGATTATACACCACAGGGCAGACATCTTAGAGGGCCATCTTAGAAGTCTCTCTACCACATATATCAACAGATGATAGCTGGAAGCTTTTGATTTTCATCACTTGCCTCCTTATAATATAAGCTGCATATTTTATAATATAAATTTTATAATATTATATCATAAAAATATAATATAACCAGTCTGGCAGGTGACAAGAATGTCAAAATGTCACCATTTTTTGACAGAATTGTCAAAAAAATATTCTAATCACACTAGTGTAGGAGTCAGCCAGCAGAGTTCTATATTTCCTTTGCAGGAAAGCAAATACGGGAGGTTCTCCACTTCTAGATTGTTAAGCGTCACATATCTCTCAATCATTCTTCGCATGCCGTGTATCTTCATGAATCAGCTGATGATGAACGTTTCAAAGCATCACATAATCACTGCCCGCCAGTCAAAAATTCCCTTTCAGCAGCATTTCTATCTTTGTAAACAGTATTTGTGCAATTATTTGACAATTTTTGTATATTTTCTTAAAAAGAGCAAAAAAAAGGAAATGAAAAGCAGTGATATTAATGATAAGATCTCATAAACAGTATAGCGGAAATAAATATAGAAATAAATGGGCTAAAGTGTCAATTTTTTAGAACCCATGGGAAACTTACTGGAATTAAGGTAGAAGAACCCTTGTATCAGTTAAGGTCTAGTCAGAGTAACATAAACCATGCTAGATATTTCAACCGGAGATTTAATACAGGAGACTGGTTACCCAGATGTTGGAAAGCTAGAAGGCTTAGGGAAACCAGATCGATTACTGAAGAAGCAGCTACCACTCCTTCAGGGCCGGAACCCCAAAAAAAAAGAGGTGTTTCTGGGGGAGGTGAGGTTTCCTCTCTTTTGCTGAGGAAGACTGGCCCTGGGCTAACATCCGTGCCCATCTTCTTCTACTTTATGTGGGGCACCTGCACAGCCTGGCTTGATGAGCAGGGCATAGAACTGTGCCCAGGATCCAGACTTGTGAACCCCAGGCCACCAGAAGCAGAGCATGTGAACTTAACTGCTATGCCACTGGGCTGGCCCCAATTAGTAGGTACTTTTACCTGGTACTTATAAAGTGCTCAATATATATTAGCTATTATTGTTTTTATTATAAAAGTAGAGGGTTCTATATAAAATTAAAGGAAGCCATAATTCAATAGATGACACTTAACCTGTACATCAGTTGTGTCATTCAGGATCCAATTAAGAAACAGAAACCACTCTGAGTATTTAAAGCATAAGGAATTTAATGTAGAAAATTGACCACAAAGGCTAGAAGCTCAACAGGGAACGCTGAAGCAACCCCAAATTGGCCATAGCTGTAAGCTGCTGCCACTGCTAAGCTGGAGAGACATAGAGTGACCAGTCAAAGCCGGAATCATGTTGGCTCATCCATTGGAAGCTGGAGCCATGAAAGAGAGGAAGCCACTGCCAGAGAAGGAAGATGAGCAATACTCTGGCTTCTCCCCTCTTCCCACCCTCCAATCTCTGATTGGCCAAACCCAGCTAGAGGCCCCACAAACAGGAGCCTGGGAAAGAGCCTGTAGAGGTCAGCCTCCTGCGTTACACAGCAGAACAGAAGTATGAAGAATGGATCTGAGGGCAAACAGCACTGATTAGTCTAGAAAGGGGGGACTGAATTCCTCCCTCCACTGGCTCATGTTCACACATGCACGCACAGTTGGTCATAAAATCCACAACAATGTAGTGGCTTCATCCGCATTCCTAAATACTTCCATTACCAGACTGTTTGGGTTGGTATTAAATGGTTAATCCATCCACATCCTGCACTGATAAACATTAAGTATGCAGCACCCTTACCAGCTCATGAATGACTGGAATTTTTATAGTTCCAAGAGAATAAAAGTTGATGGGAAAACTGTGGAACCTAAATCATTGATGAAAGATGAGTGAAAGTCCCTTGCTTGCAATCTTGCCTGCAAGCACCGTAAGTACATTTCACATGTATACTTTTTTATTTGTGCATATTTATA